AGCCTTATTCATTGTGCAGCCGGTTTTTCTGTTTTTAATTCAGTTCTTTAGCTGACTTTTGTAAATATACTTTACATCTTCATTGTCAGTATGGCTGATCAGCATTAAGAGGTCGGTGTTATGTATTAGTTTATAGTGTGCATAATGATGACAGCAAATTTGAAGCAGACATAACATCGCGGGCATTAAAATTCGTGACAAACTCCGGGACAAGCCGAGTAGCGCCTCGTGCCCATCTGGAAGGATTTCATATTGCAGCAAGAACATCAGAACTACTTTAAACAAGAACGATCACTCTATTCCTGTTTGATTCCAATGGTATTTAATATCACCGATGCTCTCGTATATTGTATTGCTGTTTTTGTTTTCATTTCTTTATTTTAAAGAATTTCATACAAGTAAAAGAAGGAGAAAACAATGTGTTAAAAACGTTTTCTAGCGTAATTATTACCAGCTGTTCACCTTACATTGCCAAATGTACATGTATGATTCTAAATGGGGTTTAAGAATCACAAAAGGGATTTGTTTTATTGAATATGCAAATAGAAGAATGTGTTTTCCAGCAACATTAAATCCCAAAGCAGATACTAAAATATTACGTTAAAATATTTCTCAAACAGAAACATTATCAAACATTTACGTAACCTTGCTGCCAAAACCCTGGTGGATTTTTAAAATGAATACGCTGAAAAATATCTGAATGACCCCAAAACGTCAGACTAAATTATAACCAAAGGATGTGAAATATAAGCCCAATGTTAAAGACTAAAGTTGATTAGTCTTATATAGATATAAAGTTATTGTTTTAAAACTAACTCGTAGCGATTTATAACTATATTAAAAAATAATGTTGGAAAGCGCACGTACAATCTCCAACCCAAGCCCGCAAGATCATCAGAAATACACTCCCATGAGAGCAGTATGGGCGTCTGTTTGAATCTCACCGTCAGTCGCATTATTCTTATTAAAATCTTCACATTAGGCAGCTCAATTCTGTTAGCTACGCTCTTTGTACTTTCAATGTGACGATATATATTTTTCATGTTTTTTTAAATAATGCCATAATGCCATAAACGATTTAAGTACTCGGGATTATTTTTACCAAAGCACCAAAATCGTTACTCGCGTTCTGATTGGTTTGTCATATTTTCGCACTTAACATGCATCGAGGCGGGGGACGAGTCTTCTTTGAGTCTTCTTTCCGGTTACGGAAAGGGGCGAGTGGTGACGAATGGGGCTTTAGCTGTGGTGCACTGACGCTCATACATGAAGCCTTTTTGTTTGACTGTTTCCTTGCTGGTTGAGCAACAGTCCATCTCTGTGACGGTGGCTCGTCTGGACCAGACTCACTGAGGGACACCTTAAACATCGATCTACGGTCCGTAACCGTCTGGACCAGACTCACTGAATGACACCTTAAACATCGATCTACGTGACTGTGACGGTGGTCCGTCTGGACCAAACTCACTGAGTTACACCTTAAACATCGATCTACGTGACTGTGACGGTGGACCGTAACCGTCTGGACCAGACTCACTGAGTGACACCTTAAACATCGATCTACGTGACTGACGTGGCCCGTAACCGTCTGTGACGGTGACACCTTAAACATCGATCTACGTGACTGTGACGGTGGTCCGTCTGGACCAGACTCACTGAGTTACACCTTAAACATCGATCTACGTGACTGTGACGGTGGTCCGTCTGGACCAGACTCACTGAGTTACACCTTAAACGTCGATCTACGTGACTGTGACGGTGGCCCGTAACCGTCTGGACCAGACTCACTGAGTTACACCTTAAACATCGATCTACGTGACTGTGACGGTGGCCCGTAACCGTCTGGACCAGACTCACTGAGTTACACCTTAAACATCGATCTACGTGACTGTGACGGTGGCCCGTAACCGTCTGGACCAGACTCACTGAGGGACACCTTAAACATCGATCTACGTGACTGTGACGGTGGTCCGTCTGGACCAGACTCACTGCGTGACACCTTAAACATCGATCTACGCGACTGTGATTTGATTTCGATTTAGTTCTTCGCCTCTTACGACAAGCATGGATCGGTGACGTCCAGTTCTAACCCAGATGTTCACGGGCTGCTCACTGATCTCAGTCACGTGTTGTGGTTGCAAGTTCCGCCCAGCGTTTGAAGCCTTCGTTACACTTCCGGCTTAGAGACCTCTACTGTCGGGAGCTTGTTTACAGTTCACTTTTCCGGTTCTTGAAGACTGGCTGTTTCCTATGTTAAAGCTTGAAGAAGAAGACTTCTGGCCTTCATCGAACTGACTTGCGTGGACGAAAAGTAACAGGATGTTGTTTCTACCTGGTAAAATATTCCTGTAAGCCGGTCTTCCTTGGGATTTTTTCCAAATACTCACAATATCATTGCATTTGTTATTTGAAATCAATCTAGATCACGTGGCTAATTATCGACACTAATCCATCTTGTTACCTTTTTCAGTCAAATTCATATAATTCACCTTGTACTATTTCTTAAGACAAGGTGTCATTACATGTTAATATTTTTCCAACCCAGACATTATTTATTTTGGGCTGTTTCACCTACATAAGCCTATCCACCATTTGAACTGTTCCCCAACGCTTCCCCGTGCTATTGCAGTCCAAGTTTCCATTGTACTGTACAAACACTCTGCCTCTTGATCCTTAAATGGCCATCCTTAAAGGACATTCGAAGGCTATACATACCAAATACATATTTAAGTCGACCTTCAGTACAAAAACTTAATTGCCTTATGGCAACCACAAACTATCAAGATTTAATATCTGTTATGTTATACATGTACTTCAAATATGCCTTCAAGTGCAGAAACGGATTGAAATGAAATGTGAATCTTTTGTTAAAGTGATCCTATACTATACCATATGCACTTCATAAATAAACATTTGATCATGAATTATTATGTTCATCACTTGCTTGACAACAGTGTTAGAACCTACAGCGAAACGTCACTCTCACTGAGATAAAGAGGTTCATCCATATATTGTTATCCTTCACTACTGCGCCAACTTCTAAATGTCTCTCAAAGAAGTTGATTCACTAGTACCAACTAGATCATGGAGTGTTTCCAATGTATGTGTTTCAATTGTAATAAGTGCTGCCAGTTTCGCTTATTATGGACATGTCCTTATGCCATGGACATCATGACATCGAATAGTGGAATAGTGTGTTTCTTATATATATATCCGAGCGTTGGGTTATTGAATTTCTGAATGATATTTTGTGATAGCAATAAGTTTGCATTGCATCGCTCTTACTTCCAAATGTGCTGCAAAAAGATTTGTCTGTACTAATAAGCAGTCACTTGTTCGTCTGGTTTGTGTGTATGACACCATCGCATGGCGACTGTGATGACGTACGGTGTGGACCAACGCACACATGGCATTGTATATTCCGGGGCTTCGTCAGACATCCATGTGAAATATCGATCGGCGAGATCGGTAAATGGATTTTTTCGAGTACAACACATTATGTCGTTGTCTGCCGTTAAAAGGAAAAACAAGCACTGGTGAAACAAATGAAATAGAATGGTAGCAATTGATCCGTTAAATATTTTATGATCAAGCTCATTTTCCAAAATCAAGCAGATCGATGATATATTTTCGCGTCCCCTTTGCGAAATCGATGACGTAATATTTTTAGGAGCATTTCGAAGTGAACAGTCTTGACAGTGCCGATGATGACAGACACCCCTGGTTCACCATGGCGGGACCCAAACAAAGGTGTCCGTTGCCAAAGGAATAAGAATGAACTTGACACCGCCATTTATCCTGAGAATTTTCAGTTAATATAGATTGAATTAAACGCGTCTCAGTGTTAAATTACAGTGGAAGCCCACGAAACCGGCATTCGTTAGGACCGGCAAAAAATTATAGTGCCGGTATTGAGAGCATGCCGGATTGGAGGACTGCCGGTTAAGAGGGCTTCCACTGTATATTGTTAGGCTTAAATTCAGCATCTGACAAAGTAAGAGTTTACTCTACCCATATATGTAGCATAGTTTTGCCCTTAACTACTATAACGTCCAAACGCAAGCGTCCCCGTACTTTAACTGTAATGGTTCAGGAAAAAACTGAGTACATACATGGGCAAACTACATATTTTAACTACTGCATTTCATTTGCATATTTCACATCATACATTAATTTCAAGTTGATCGTCAAAACTATCTAACTTGACCTGCACGTGAACACATTACATTCCCTCTCACGTGCAGATATACGAGAGCGACAAACCACACACACAGAGACACAAACAGATATATATCTGTGTATATATGCAATCGGTATACAGCTTACATAGAACCTACCTTGATGTTAAGTTAATCTTTAATACATTTAGTTTATTACGTTGTTTCGTGTTCGTTATCTGTATGATTTATGTAAATAAAAGGCAGTTACCACTTCTTAAACACTATTTTCACCAGTTGTTATCCATATTCTATCAGACCAAACAGTATCTGAATCCCGAGACTGCTTATTCCATACTCCAGTGATCAGTTGCTCGATGTTTTCCCTGATGATACGTGAGTTTTCAGACATAGACGTTCCTATGATCTTGGACAGCTGGGTCTAACAGTACACACTACACCCGTCCACGCGAAAGCGTATGAAATATGTTTCCAAGAGCTTCATCTTGACGGACAGCTGTCCATACATCAGACAAATAACCAGTTGCCCTGTGATTGGACATTCAGTTACGTATGGGCGAAGCCAGTGCATCAACTGTCCATCAATGTTGTCTTCCAATGAACATATATGGAACACAAGGTTATCGTATTTGCGGTGGGAATTTTCAAGACAATTGCAAGAAATCAATTTTCATTCTTTGAAATCGATTCTTGTCAGATCATCTGATGTCACTGGTTGTCATGTGAGGCTGTCCAGTAAATAGATCTGTCATATTCCCCACCCAACCACCGGGTATATAAGTGTGGCGCATGTACACAGGACATAGACTCGGGCGGCTTGAGATGGCGCTTCATACACTTTACATCTGTTGCTTTACTGTATTGTTGGGCGCCGGTTTGGGTTGGGCCGAACAAACCTTGACAACCTCGGACTACGGTGACCAGGGGGAATTGGACTTCACAAGTCCTGATACAAAGTCTGTTTCCAGGTCGGGGAACTGTACTGTACCAGATTTACTGGCTGGCGATATTGACGGGGTGATGTGTGACACTCCTGATGTACACGACTTCAACGACACCGACGGTGAGACCAAGACCAACTCGTGCAAGGAAGGCACACAAGAAAACTGTGAGTTACCAAACCAACCTCGTATTTCCATCATCTCGCAGGGACAGCTCTCCAAGGAACAGTATGAAGTCGGGGCGAAAGTCTCTCTGTATCTCTTCTACCCTCTGTTCATCAGTGCAATTCTCGTCAACACATTCAATCTGTTGGTGTACACGGACCCCGCCATGAGGAGTCCCACAAGCACCTACCTGATAGCTCTCGCCACTGACGAACTCCTCTTTGCCTTGTTAACCAGTGTGAGGCACATTCTGAGACAAGCATATGGATCTGACGCAGTCAAGAGGCAAGACTATCTATATTTTGCTATGTATGGATCAAGTGTTTGTTCGGCAACTCTCCGTGTCCTGATGTACTGTTTGACTGTTCTGGTGTCCACAGAACGCTTCCTAGCTGTTGCCTTCCCTTTGAAGTACAGAAATTTTCGTCTAATCAAATCACCAATTATCTTTATAATATCGGTGACGATTTTTTGCTTTTCTTGTCAATTACCGGGAGCATTGAAATTCGACATCGTTCCCAAACCCAACTCGACAGACTTTTCTCTCGTGCCATCGACGATGTACATAAATAACAAGGATTTCCTCAACGGTCTTTCAATCGCCAACAATATTCTCTTCACCTATCCCGTCCTCGTGTGCGGCCTCATCATGAACCTGTGCGTTCTCCTGGCTCTCAGGAAACACAGAAAGAACAGGGCGAAGATGAACACGACTGTGGACGAAGAGAAGACGGCAAAGCGAGAGAGGCAGACGACAATCACCATCCTGACGTCGACCTTCCTCTTTACAGTGCTGGCAATTCCTCTGGCAACAGACGTGCTGGTTCAGAGTTTTGTGGCTGAGTATGCTTTGTATAGGAAGGAACATTATGTCAACATGCTGATGAAAGACGTCAACGGTTTACTTATCATGTTCAGCCTGTCTACCGACTTCGTGTTCTACATTGCACTGAGTAAGGCCTACCGACGAACCTTCTTCAGACGACTTCCCTTCATGGCCACGATCTGCAGACGAAAGAAGTACAAGCGGGATTCTTCTCTCCCTGAGCCGCAGACGAAAATGTCGACCATTTCTGAGAGTGTAAGCAATTGCGCGTGAGCAGATGTCTGGTATATATATTTATATGAATCAGGTGTATCATTAGTTTTATTTTGTAAGTATGTATTCTGGGACAAACATGCTTCGTACAGATTGATTACTAACAATCAATTAGACGCATATTTCTTTACAGTATTTAATCAATGCCAGGTCACCTCGACCGCCTTATAATATACTGACAGTGTGACCTACTTGGACAATCACTTCTAACACATCTTCTTACAACGTTCAAAAGTAGTATATACATGATTTGAGTTGAAGTCCCTCACAGTTATCAGATACAAATACATGTAGGAATACATGCGATGCCATACGTTCATTCTGTCTGGAGGAACGAATCACGTCAGAGGTAAATATAACATTATGCAAGAACATAACAAATGTTGAGATTCCGTACAAGGTATAACTAGCGAAATAGCTGTGAAAATAATGTGCAGGGACCACTAAAAATCAGGTGTCCTTGAAAATGGTGAGCAGCTTCTGCCCTTGCGCTTCTGTCAGCCATTAAGAACAGTAAGTATGTATTTCCAGACTCCGCTCAGCAGTACTCCTGCCATACGGAGGCAATCTCCATATAGACCAGACAAACACGTGATGGGCGTCAACTTCCAAACTGAAACAACAGTTAACCTAGAAATCTATTTTCGCAGAATGAAACCAACAAATGATTAATGTCTTACTAATGGAATAAAATATATACAAATATCAATGCTAGTTACTGCAAAATCATTACTGTGACAGTACACAATAAAGTGACAGTATAAGATTGAGTGGTCGTGTAATTACAATGGCAGTATAAGATTGAGTGGTCATATAATTACAATGGCAGTATACGATTGAGTGGTAGACTAAGTGTAATTACAATGGCAGTATAAGATTGAGTGGTAGTATAATTACAATGGCAGGATAAGATTTAGTGGTAGTATAATTACAATGGCAGTATAAGATTGAATGCTGGTATAATTACAATGGCAGTATAAGATTGAGTGGTAGTGTAATTACAATGGCAGTATAAGATTGAGAGTGGTAGTGTAATTACAATGGCAGTATAAGATTGAGTGGTAGACTAAGATTTAGTGGTGTAATTACAAGTGTAATTACAATGGCAGTATAAGATTGAGTGGTAGTATAATTACAATGGCAGTATAAGATTGAGTGGTAGTATAATTACAATGGCAGTATAAGATTGAGTGGTAGTATAATTACAATGGCAGTATAAGATTGAGTGGTAGTATAATTACAATGGCAGTATAAGATTGAGTGGTAGTATAATTACAATGGCAGTCTACGATTGAGTGGTAGTATAATTTTAATGGCAGCATAAGATTGAGTGGTAGACTAAGTATAATTACAATGGCAGTATACGATTGAGTGGTAGTATAATTACAATGGCAGTATAAGATTGAGTGGTAGTATAATTACAATGGCAGTATAAGATTGAGTGGTAGTATAATTACAATGGCAGTATAAGATTGAGTGGTAGAGTAAGTATAATTACAATGGCAGTATAAGATTGAGTGGTAGACTAAGTATAATTACAATGGCAGTATATAAGATTGAGTGGTAGTAAGTATAATTACAATGGCAGTATAAGATTGAGTGGTAGTATAATTACAATGGCAGTATAAGATTGAGTGGTAGACTAAGTATAATTACAATGGCAGTATAAGATTGAGTGGTAGTATAATTACAATGGCAGTATAAGATTGAGTGGTAGACTAAGTATAATTACAATGGCAGTATAAGATTGAGTGCTGGTATATTTACAATGGCAGCATAAGATTGAGTGGTAGACTAAGTATAATTACAATGGCAGTATAAGATTGAGTGGTAGTATAATTACAATGGCAGTATAAGATTGAGTGGTAGAGTGGTAGTATAATTAGTATAATTACAATGGCAGTATAAGATTGAGTGGTAGTGTAATTACAATGGCAGTATAAGATTGAGTGGTAGTATAATTACAATGGCAGTATAAGATTGAGTGGTAGTATAATTACAATGGCAGTATAAGATTGAGTGGTAGTATAATTACAATGGTATAAGATTGAGTATAAGATTGAGTGACTAAGTATAATTACAATGGCAGTATAAGATTGAGTGGTAGTATAATTACAATGGCAGTATAAGATTGAGTGGTAGTATAATTACAATGGCAGTATAAGATTGAGTGGTGGTAGTATAATTACAATGGCAGTATAAGATTGAGTGGTAGATTAGTGGTAGTATAATTACAATGGCAGTATAAGATTGAGTGGTAGACTAAGTATAATTACAATGGCAGTATAAGATTGAGTGGTAGTATAATTACAATGGCAGTATAAGATTGAGTGGTAGTATAATTACAATGGCAGTATAAGATTGAGTGGTAGTATAATTACAATGGCAGTCTACGATTGAGTGGTAGTATAATTTTAATGGCAGTATAAGATTGAGTGGTAGACTAAGTATAATTACAATGGCAGTATACGATTGAGTGGTAGTATAATTACAATGGCAGTATAAGATTGAGTGGTAGTATAATTACAATGGCAGTATAAGATTGAGTGGTAGTATAATTACAATGGCAGTATAAGATTGAGTGGTAGTATAATTACAATGGCAGTATAAGATTGAGTGGTAGTAGTATAATTACAATGGCAGTATACGATTGAGTGGTAGTATAATTTACAATGGCAGTATAAGATTGAGTGGTAGACTAAGTATAATTACAATGGCAGTATAAGATTGAGTGGTAGTATAATTACAATGGCAGTATAAGATTGAGTGGTAGTATAATTACAATGGCAGTATAAGATTGAGTGGTAGTATAATTACAATGGCAGTATAAGATTGAGTGGTAGTATAATTACAATGGCAGTATAAGATTGAGTGGTAGTGTAATTACAATGGCAGTATAAGATTGAGTGCTGGTATAATTACAATGGCAGTATAAGATTGAGTGGTTGACTAAGTATAATTACAATGGCAGTATAAGATTGAGTGGTTGACTAAGTATAATTACAATGGCAGTATAAGATTGAGTGGTAGTATAATTACAATAGCAGTATACGATTGAGTGGTAGTATAATTACAATGGCAGTATAAGATTGAGTGGTAGTATAATTACAATGGCAGTATAAGATTGAGTGCTGGTATAATTACAATGGCAGTATAAGATTGAGTGGTTGACTAAGTATAATTACAATGGCAGTATAAGATTGAGTGGTAGTGTAATTACAATGGCAGTATAAGATTGAGTGGTAGACTAAGTGTAATTACAATGGCAGTATAAGATTGAGTGGTAGTATAATTACAATGGCAGTATAAGATTGAGTGGTAGTATAATTACAATGGCAGTATAAGATTGAGTAGTAGTGTAATTACAATGGCAGTATACGATTGAGTGGTAGTATAATTACAATGGCAGTATAAGATTGAGTGGTAGTGTAATTACAATTATACTTTGTGGAAACGTCATCAAAGACTTCAGGTCTGGGTGTTGTGTGAGATGATAGAGTCATGCCCCTGCCTACTTATACGCCAGTCGAGGTACTGTCTAGAAGATCCACACCTTGCTGGATTAGTCTATAACTTTCTCAGATTACACTTGTCTCCAAAAGTATTAAGTAACCTCCACACCACTGACCACATTAGATTGTACAGCATTCCTGACAACTAAGTATTCTTGAAGGACAATGTTAAGAACGTCTGCTGAATCTTGTTATACAATTACTTGTAATACACATTTAAGCACTATTGTCTTGTTCCAACAGAGTAGGGATGGATGGGTGTGCATGTTTCAATGTTCGACCGAGAAATATATAATGTAATTGACGTGGTTATCAACAAATGCTGCTGAGCTTATGGAGAAATGCGGGCACGTTAGTATGCCAGCAGAAGCATAGACGCAACTGGAGCAAAACGTCAGTGCAAGCGTATAACCAGCTGTTTGATTTGTTGAACTGACACAGTTCAAGATAAGCATGCAGTAATAGTTGTGTCTGAAGGTATTTAATAATTACTAACACTCACAGGGAGGCGGGGATAGAATCAATCCACGGTGACCTCAAATTTAATTCTAGTGAACTAGGACGTATCAGATATGTGTCGCCAGTCGGGGTTGTTCTTGATATCAAACGCTGGCCGTTTCCGTGTTATATACGCAGGATAGTTTCATGGATGTCAACTTCTTAATTATAAGAAAGACATTAACCCGATGAAGGTCCTCATGATAAAAAAGCTGACATCCCTAAAACTCTTCTCCTTATGTGTATCACTAATACATGTCATTCAAAGACAGGATCCATGTTCTATATAAACAAATGGTGACTTGTGACTCACCAACATAAAAGAAGGTAACATGTATTTTCTCCATGTGTATTCCTATTGTTCTTATTGTAGAACGTTGTTGGTTATTGTTACTGTTATTGTCATGTTGATTTACTGCCCACTAATACCACGGATTGCAGTGTTGTGTTCAATAAATTGTTGAAAACCCTCACATTTGTATGTTCGTCTTATTCCCCACATATGGGTACAATGTGTGTTCCGTGATATTGCAGGAATTCTGCTAAAGGCGGGGTAAAACAATACTCACTTCATTCATCTCGGACGTGTTGGTATGAATGTCTACTCCCACATCGGTAAATGTTTACAGAAGACCAGAAGCTGAATGTCCAAAGAGCATGTCCCGTATCACATGTCACTGATGATTACATTTTCTTAGTAAGGCAGACATTATTGTGCCTTTGGGTTTTGTCCCATGCGGTATTCGAACTCAAACTCTCAGTTTGGCACCAAATTGCCGACACACAGATATTTAAACCGTTCAGCCACCGGGTCTTCCACAAAAATGGAAATAAAATTGGTAGTATCGATCACTTTATTTACCAATCTGACAGCTGTAGATTGGTAAAGTATAAATTCTGGGGCATTGGGGAGTTCCCCTGTGATCAAATTCTACCTGCATAAAATTCTCGTCCAAAGAGCTGCCGAAGATGGAAATCACATGATCACAC